TGAGTTGTGATTTAGGGTTTTAGGTTATGAGTTGCGATTATGGGATATACTATGGACGGTTCAGTGTTCCGATATATTAATATTCGTGTTTGGAATTTGAAAAAAAATACACGTTGCGATAATAATGGCGCTTTGAAAATCGCATTGCGATAGTCAGCATCGCGTTGCGACAGTCAGAATCGCGTTGCGATAGTCATAATCTCGTTGCGATAGTCAGAATCGCGTTGCGATAGTCATACTCGCATTGCGATTTACATATTCGCATTGCGATTGTCGGAAAATCGCAACGCGAATTTGGAAAATCGCAATGCGATAGTCAGAATCGCATTGCGAATCTGGAAACTGATTTGCGATACCGGAGATCGCGTTGCGAATTATCGATCGCATTGCGATTTAATTGGTCATTTTTTCAAATCCAAAAAAAGTTGGTTAAAATCGTATATTATAAGGTATTTTTGGTCACTGAGGTTATTTTCTCTATTTTTTATTGTCTTTTTATTTTATTTTTTTCAATAAATCTGCCTATATGACATGTTTTCCTCTACTTTTATGACACGTTTTCTTCTGTCTTTTGACTCGTTTTTCGACCGTTTGTCTATTGTTTTCATTTATCTTTTTCAAATGATTGATTAGAGATTGTCACGACTAATCAATGTGGTGCATATTTGATATATTATTGATCTTCTCTGCTTTATACCCTCCCTCCTATTGGATTTGGATACCCATTATGCATTCATGGGTAGTTTTTTATGTCGCTCAAGTCTGATTTGCGATTTGTCGGTGGTCTTTCAGTATTTTGATCCCCTTTTGTAATTTGTTTGCCAATGCGATCAGATCTTTTTGTATCTATTTTTGTTTGGATTTTCTTGGTTAGATTTTAATATTTTCTTGTATGATCCTTATGTGATCTTTAAGTTGCTAGTTTTGCTTCAATGATTAAATTATGTGTTTGATTTACAATTATGATGGTAAATGTTTATTGTAATTGAGGATATTTTCTGTTTTAAATAAACTTAATGATTTATTTTAAAAAAATATTATAAGTGTAGTACACGAGATATAATTGTTGATCTACAATAAGTGAAGTGTTGATTTACAGTAGAAAAGAACATGCTTAAATCAACAATTTATGATTTTTTTTATTCTGGATAGATAGAGAGTCAATGATGAGTAAAGGGGTTTTAGTTTGTGTATGTTGGATGGGAATTTTACTTCTTTTTCTATATTTATACTTTGAATTTTTTTTTAAAAAAATTGTGTTTATTTTAATATCAGTTCATAAGTCTAATCAAAATTTTATTTCGATATTAGAATAAATTAACGAATGATGATTGAGCCCCTACTATATATTTTCGGATTGTTCAACAATCGACGAAATGATACAACACTTATCCACCTAGTAAATGTTTCAAAGTGGCGAACTTGAATATTTATCTGTTTTAAATTTTAACTTTTTTTCATTTTATTGTTTCGAGTAATGATTTATCCCTTCTGATTCGAAAAGATTAATTATATATTTTATTTTATCTCATTTAGGGACAGTTACGATGAACATGGGAGTATCTCAATCTAGTGATGGAGGTGTTCTACAGATATCTTCGACACAGAAATCAGACCGAACAAACAATATTAAAGAAGGAAAAAAAATGAAACTTCAGATCGTCACCCAAATTGGATTGATTGAGAAAGATATAAGAAAAAGAAGAAATTATTGGATTAGGGATTTTTTTTTAACATTTTTGTTGGTCCGTAGCTTCATTCTTGGATCTAAATTGGATGTCTTTATCACATGTCGTGGTTTAGATTTAAAAAAAATATCATCATAATTAATTAAATTTAGTTTGATTTTAAACATTTTATTAAAATAGAATATAATTATTAGTTTTTTTCCCAAATATTAGTAATGAGTCTTGAGGTTGAATAATTTTTATTTTTTAATGGGTTTATTCTAATTTTCTCTTTTTTCTTAGTCTCTCTTTCTCTTTCTCTTTCTCTTTGTCTTTATGCCCGATTGCGGTATCAACCTTAGTGTTGGTTGCCTATCACTTGTATTCATGGTTTTTCATTTATTTTATTATATTATATATTTTTTTTGTTTTTAAATTTTTAATAACTTTGTCATTATAAACGTTTTTATTTATCTTTATGACACGTTTTCGATCGTTTGACCGTTATTTTGTTTATCTTTTTTTTTTCAGAGTTAGATTGCATCGTCATGATTGATCAAGATGTCACTTATTTGTTATTATGTTGATATTCCCTGTTTTGGACCTTCAGATTGAATTTGGGTACACAATTTGCGTTTATGGATAGTTTTTTCACGTCTTTCTACTCTGATTTACGATTTGTTAATGGTCTTTTAATAGCTTAATTCCCTTTTGTGGTTCGTTGGTTGACGTGGTCAAATATGTTCGTAGCTATCTTTTGTTCGAGTTTATTTGGTTAGATTTTTTAATATTTTTCTTATACGATCCTTATGTATCTTAAATGACTATTTTTATTATAAGTCTAGAGTACGGATGTGATTGTAAACTTTTATTATAATTAAATATTTTTTATTTTTAATAAAAATAGTAACTTTTATAATAAAAAAATTAATGGACTTGAAGTTTCATTAATTTTTTTTGACTTAACCACTTGATATATAAATTTGGGATTAATATCTATAATTTTCTTCTTACGAAATCTCTTTATTACATAATTAATATTGTTTTACAGCGATTGATACCAACTTTGTTCACTTAACCCAAACATGGGCTGAATTCACGAGATAATGTTCTCGAATTTTTTTTTTCACGATATGGTGCACATCCCAGATTAATTGCTGGAATGGGGTGAATTCGACAGTGATCGCCATAGGACGCCATGCAATCCAGGCGACCTTGGAGGTCGCCATGCAATCCGGGCGACCTCCAAGGTGGATTGCATGGCGCCCTGTGCGTATTTTGCAAAAATCATGGGCCGTGGGAATGCATGGGGGAGGGGATGCATGCTGTACATGGCCATGCAGATGCATGCTGTGCATGGGACGTGGGAACTGTGCATGGCCATGCACGTCGAACGGTGTAGGTCACGGCGGCGTGGTCGGTAGGTCGCCATGGAGTCTCGGTGACCAAGGTCTGGTCCGTAGCTGCTGTAGCTGCATGCATGCGTTGCATCATAGCTGAGATTCCTGCACCCGTAGCTGTATGTGTTATTGCAGCGTTAATTTAGCTGTCAGCCTTTCAATGCTCAATAGTTAGACGACAATGCTAATATTATTTGCTTCAACAATCAAATTTAATGACTCTGTCCAACGCTCAGTTGCTTTATATAAAGGATATGGTGTTTAGGGTAGAAGCACAAGCAGAACCGGCACATATAAACTTTGCCGAGAGAAAGAAAAGGAAGAAGAAGAAAAGAAGATAAAGGCTCAAACATAGTTCGTGAGGTAATTTTTTTATTGTTTAATTTAGTTTATTATATGAAATTATTAGTTTGTTAGTTTCGGGTTTAGGGTAAAATTAAAATCTAGTTAATTAGTTTGTTAGTATAAATTATTAGTTTGTTAGTTTAAGTTATATTATATTAGTTTATTAGTTTAAGTTATATATTATATTATATAAAAAATTAGTTAATTAGTTTCTTAGTTTAAGTTATTAAATATAAAAAATATTAATTAATTTGTTAGTGTCTTTAAACGTATATTAGTTAATTAGTTTCTTAGTTTAAGTTATATTATATACTACTAATAAACTTACTAACTAATTTTTTATATAATATAAATTCAACAAACAAATATAACTTAACTATTTAACTAACACAAACTAATTAAATAATTTTTTTTATATAACTAACTATTAACAATACAAACTAATTAATTATTTTTTAACTATATAACTATCAAACATATACTAATTAAATAATTTTTAATTTATGTATACTATAACTTAAACTAACAATCATATAACCCTAAACTAACAAACTAATTAACTGCTTTTTGTTTAACCCTAAACCCTAAACTAACAAATTAAACATTTATAATAATAAACTAATTTAAATATAAAAAAATTTATCTTATCTCCCTTTCTTCTTCTTACTTTCCTTTCTCCCTTTTCTTTCTTTCTTTCTCGGCTGCAATCTCTTCTCCCTTTCTTCTGCAATCTCTTCTCCCTTTCTTTCTTTCTTTTATAACCGGCTGAGGCCTCAATTATTTCACCAATTGTACAATTGCAGCTATGATATCATCAGCTGATTTCACGCGTTCAATTATTGTACCAATAATCAATGGTTCACATGCCTCAAATGTTCACATGCATGCATTGGGAGGTGTAGGCATGCAGCGGGGAGCACGTGAATTGGGAGGTGTAGGCATGCAGCGGGGAGCACGTGAAGGAATCTATGTGGCTGTGCATGTGCATGGATGATGGGAATGGCGCCGGGACTACATGGCGACCTACAAGGTCGCCGGGACTACATGGCGACCTACAAGGTCGCCTAGGCTGCATAGCGACCTCTCTATTCCTGCATGCTCCCATTGGCTCGTATGGCTCGTATATGGCTCGTTGCATGCTCCCCATTGGCTCTCTATTCCTGCATGCTCCCCATTGGCTCGTATATGGCTCGTTGCATGCTCCCCATGGCTCGTATATGGCTCGTTGCATGCTCCCCATTGGCTCTCTATTCCTGCATGCTCCCCATTGGCTCGTATGGCTCGTTGCATCCTCCCCATTGGCTCGTATGACTCGTATATGGCTCGTATGTCACCCTCGTATGTCACCCCGTATGTCGCCTGGATTGCATGGCGTCCTCCAAGGTCGCCTGGATTGCATGGCGTCCTATGGTAATCACTGTTGAATTCACCCCATTCCAGCAATTAATCTAGGATGTGCACCATATCGTGAAAAAAAAAATTCGAGAACATTATCTCGTGAATTCACCCTAAAACATGAACACTTTACACTATATATTTATATACTTATAATCCACATTAATTGTCACAAGCTTTCATTGCCTCAACCATGGCGGAGCTAATCCTAAAACACTCCGCCGCCGCGGCCTTTTTTCTCACAGTTCTCTCGTTAACTTCGTCCTTCGCCATCGACGGATCGGACTCTTTCTCTCCAAACCTCTCCCCATTGTCCCTGGGGATAAACAATAAATCAGAGAAACTAAGACATCTCCATTTCTACTTCCACGACATCGTCGTTGGCAAAAACGCCACCGCCATCCGCGTAGCGAAAGCACCGACGACGACCACGTCGTCTCCGTTCGGTGTGGTGGTGGTGATCGATGACCCTTTGACGGTCGGGCCCGACATAGGGTCCAAACTCGTTGGAAAAGCGCAAGGGATTTATGCTTTCGCGTCGCAGACTGATTCTACCTTGCTAGTGGCTTATAACTTTGCTTTCATGGAGGAGGAATATAATGGAAGCAGCCTTACCGTTTTGGGGCGGAACGTGGTGTCTTCGGCCGTAAGAGAGATGCCGGTGATCGGAGGCAGTGAGGCTTTCCGGTTTGCTCGTGGATATGCTGAAGCAAGGACTCAGAGATATGATCTCAAAACTGGGAACACTATTGTTAAATATAATGCTTATGTTTTACATTATTAAAATATTGTTTTCTAATTGTGTTGTTGTCATTTTATATTAATTTGTCGACCTCATTACGAGGGGTTCAACTGAATCACTCTACTAATGATAAGGATTTCTTGTCATTTAACATTAATAATCGTTATTCAAGGACGGATTCTTTTAGTAGGGGAATGATACGAGAATGAGAAAATCAGTCGTTTTTTTTTAATAAGAAATTAAAGTTGTTTTTTATGACTGAAACGTTAGTATACTTGATGACTTTTCAGACGTGATATGTATATTTTTGTGTCGATATATCTTCTCATAAATTGATTGATTATCTTTTTTTAATTCATCTTGAAACATCCTGATCAAACGTAGTAAATTCAAGATACAATCATTTTAAAAAAGACAACATAACAAAAAATTATACAACATATTACACGTTCTACCTTAACTTAAAATCCCGTCGGATTACTAAAAATAAATATCTTTATAAGAGTTACACGTTTGATTCATCCCAACACACGTTCTTAATAAGGAATATCATCATATCCAATTATTTTTTTATTTTTTATTTTTAATTCCTTTTTTTCAATTTTTCTTTTAATTCATACTTTCATTATTTTACAACCATTTGAAATATTCCTAAAAATCTAATTATTTACTCTTAAATTTTATATTCAATTAAAGTTTAAAACGATTCAAGCTTTCACATTTTTATCAAATTTAAATTTAGACTTTATAAATAAATAAATAAAAAGATAGATGAGCCATCCCATTATGAGTCTATATAGTTTTTAATTTGAATTGATTGATCAATAAATTAAATATTAAAACATGAAAAATTAAAACAATTTACCACTATTTTAATCTCATTTATGAAGAAAAAGAACTATAATACACATCCTAAATAAATCTCAATTTCTTTTTTAACCTATAGAAAAATCTTCTCACCAACTTCTCAAAATAAAATCATAAACATTGCATAAAATTTACGTTCATTTTCATACACCCACAACCTATTTTATATTCTCCAACAAAAGAAGACGCTATGTTATATTTTAAGTAACTTCGAAAGCTTTCACCACCTCAACCATGGCAGAGCTCCTCCTAAATCTCTCCTCCACCGCCGTCTTCCTCCTCGCAGTTCTCTCATTAACTTCATCCTTTGCCACCATAGAATCAAAGCCTTTCGCTCGAGTTCTCTCCCCATCATCCATGGGGCTAACCAAACCCAAGAAACTAAGCCACCTCCATTTCTACTTCCACGACATCGTCGTCGGGAAAAACGCCACCGCGATCCGAGTAGCCAAAGCACCAACGAAGACGGCGTTCGGTGCGGTGGTGGTGATAGACGACCCTTTGACTGTCGGCCCCGATATCGACTCCAAACTTGTGGGAAAAGCGCAAGGGATTTATGTCACGACTTCGCAGACTGAAGCTAGCTTGTTAATGGCGTATAATTTTGCCCTCATGCAAGGGGTGTACAATGGAAGCAGCCTCAGCGTTATGGGACGGAATCCGGTGTTTTCCGACGTCAGAGAGATGCCGGTAATCGGCGGAAGTGGAGTTTTCCGGTTGGCTCGTGGATATGCAGAAGCAAGAACTAGTAGATACGATTACAATACGGGGAACGCTTTTGTTGAGTACAACGTTTATGTTCTTCATTCAGACTCTCTTGTCCAGAGTTCTAACCATGCACCATCATCACTGAAATATTTAATTACTCAATTTCTTTGTATTTTTATTTTATATTTTATCATTTTAGAGGTTTAATTCTAATTTTAATCTTTTATTAGGTTTAAAATTGATATTTACTTTTGGTTAGATTACTATTTGATATATCATCCGTAATAATTTTACAAACCATCAAATAATATTAAGTGTATTTTAAAAAATAAATGTTAAGATATTATCATTGTTTAAATATTACTTGCCCAGATTATTCTTTTTCACTTACTATGTATCAAATAATAAATTTATTATTATTATAACAAAATTATTAACTCTATGCTAATAACGTTAATCGTTATTGATAATATTGTTATCAATTTAAACTTACACGTATGAAGTGAGTAAAAAAAATATTTTATGTAATAATGTATTTAAAAATTTATTTAGTAATGATTATAAGTGAGATTAAAGGAGAATTTTATATGAATCTATTGATCTCATCTCGTGTTTGATTCTTCAATATTTTCTAATAAAATTTATATAAAATAAAATATTTTAAAATGAATAATTAATTTTCAACTAAATAGTATGAAATTTAATTTATAGAACCAAATCAAATTATTTTAATATAGATTCAACAAATTCTAACATTTTACCAAATAACTTACAAGGGAAGAGATTACCACCTACTCAACATTGGTGTAGTGCCAAATTAAAGAGATTATATAGATATAGATTCTTCATAATTTAATATTTTAAAGATCAACATTATATCGAAAGGGTTGTTTGTTTGCCTCTTAATGGAACTGAAGATATTCATTTTTTTCATTTTAATGTTATTTATATTATTATTATTATAATTAATAATATAATAATATTATTATTAATATATTATTTTAATATTACAAGCCCAAAATGGAGGCCCAATTACAATGGTGGCCCAAATCCAGAAGCCCAATGGAAACCCTAAACCAGATTAGGGTTTCCCTCTTCCCCAGCCGTCTCAGCCTGCTACCGTTGGATCTGGCAAGATCCAACGGTACAGATGGTTCTAGCAGGAAACCCTAGGGTTATGATACCCTAGGGCCACGACGCCGGCCGCCTCTCTGACCCGTCCATCCACTGCTGCCACGCTTCAACAGAAACATCCAGAGGAAGCAAGGAACGCCATCCACGTTCCAACCATGGGGTGAGTCACCACCTACGGTCCGGTGACTCACTGAACTTTACCCTTCGGACCGGTCCGATGGCCACACCGGTGATGGCTATAAAGCCATCACCCAACCTGCAAAGACAAAAAAAGAAAAAAAGGAGGAAGAACCGAGAAACCACAACAGAGACAGAGAGAGATAGAAAACAGAGAGCAACATCCCACAACCAGCAAAAACCAAAACAGAAAGGAAAGAAAGAAAGGAACTTACCGAGGAAGCCACCGGACCCCTTCGAACGTCACCAAAACCTTCAGAAACCGAAGGTACTTCTTTAGATTCGCTCCGATCAGGAGCCATTTAGGAGAAAAGAGCACCGGAACCGTCCTTAGGACGGTCCGATCTATCTAATGGTGTAAAAATAAAATTTTCCGGCCACCGAATGCGGTGGCCGGCGGTGAGGGTCACGGCGACAGACGGTTGCCGTCCGGTGACCGGCTTCCCTCCGGTGAGGGAAGCTAGAGAGAAGGGAGAGCTTTTGTTCATTCTCTCTCAGTTAGAGAGAGAATGAAAACTGGAAAATGAAAGAGATGGCCCGAAGGGCCGGCCGTTTTGGGCATTAAATAGCCCTTCCCGAACGACGTCGTTTCGGGGAGGGCTATTCGTGTAATTATTAATAGTTAAATCCTTTCCGCAGTCATACTAGTTTATAAACTTTACATTTTAGTCACTAAATCGAATTTATAATTCTTTTAATTTGATCTCTAAATTTTTGTTTTATTTATTTTAGTCCTTTTTATTAAAATAATATATTTAGGATAAATAACAGATTTAGTCCTATAATTTTAATAATTAATATTTTAATCTGAATAGTATGTTTTAATTTATTTTATTCTAATATCCGAATTTTATATAATTTTATTTTAGTCACTAAATAAATAAAATAAAGAAATAGCATGTTTAATCCCTATAATTTTGATTAATTATGAATTAGGTTTTTAATTTTAATTTTACTATAATTTAGTCATTTATTTTACTGCTTTTAAATATATCGTTCTAGTTGTATTTTTATTGTTTTAATTTTACTTGTTTATATATTTAAATATTTTTATTATTATGTATTCATAATATATATATAATAATATAATTTATTTTTTTAATAATTTATTTTAATATTTATTTTTCAATATCGAAGAAAATGACAGTCTTAATACAACTGGATGTCCTATTCTGGTATTTTAAAATTAAAAAATATAAAAAAATATTATTTAATTTTATTTAAATTAATATTTATCAATATCAAAGAAAATAGCTGTCTTAAGGCACCTAGAAGTCCTTTTCCAATATTTTTAAATATTTTTTATATAATTTTGAAATAATAGGATTATAAATTAAATATATTTTGAATTTTTAAAATTTTTAATAATAGAGACAATTTATAATTAAAAAGTACCAATTTTGGGCGTTGTAGGGGTGCTAATCCTTCCCTAAACGTAACCGACCACGAATCCTTTTTTATTATTAAAAAGAACGAATTTTTGGTTATAAATGCAGATCAGTTCATTTTTTAATTGATGTTTTCTTAAAACTCTTTTAAAAAATAATTTTTAGGTATTCGACCTACCTGACCCAAAAGCCCGATGGCGACTCCCAAATTATTTTCAAAACCATTTATTCACATCAATTTTCCCGCCAAGTATAATATTTCGTGCCCGGACGAAAACCGGTTACGACAGCTTGGCGACTCAGCTGGGGACCGGTCAAACTTTAAAATCAATTATAAATTGTCTCTATTATTAAAAATTTTAAAAGTTCATATATTTAATTTTTAATTCTTTCTTTTCAAAATTTTTATATTTACTTATTATTTTCATAATATTTATATGTTTCATTTTATTTACAAGTATTTTATTTCATTATTTATTTTTCTGTCAAATGTTTGAACATTTCTCCTCACACACTACACTTGCATTGCATAACATAAAGCTCTATAATTGAGTTGTCCTTTTTAAGTGGGAGTGAAAGCGACGTCTTCGTGAGAATTTATTCTCCGTGTCAGACCTAGCAAGTAACTTTCGGCGTTCATATGCTCTATGTCTTCGTGAGAATTTATTCTCCGTGTCAGGCATAGAGAAATGTATCCCGTCGAATTGAACTCGATCCATTTTAGTCTGTGATAGACTAGGATTGAGGGTTAGCAACCCAAGGGGGCACTAACAAGGACAATTCGGGTACCTTTATTCTTAGATCTGAAACCCTGCATATAATAAACCCTAGAAACTCTTCCGATCCAAAGTCATGCCGAAATTTTGTCCAAAATAGGTGTACACACAGGAGAAATGAATTCTAACTTTCCTGTTAATTTATTTATTTTCTTTACTGATTAAATTACATGTAAATTTAAATTATTTAAATTATGAAAAAGCATGTTTAAATAAAAAAATATTTAGGTAGATATTATTATTAAATTCCTTTATTATGTAAACTAATTCATTTCTTTTTATGTGTTCTTTATTTTTTCTGTTTGCATAGCATCATACAGGATAAAAGGCATTGATCCTTGTGTTAATTGTCTCATTGGAAAGCCTTCATCCATGGATAAAAAGTGTTCAAATCAAGTAATTCTAAACTCAGAAGTAAGACAGTGGGCTGAGGACTTACAAAGACAAGAAGGAGACAGTCTGCAGGATGATTATGTATCTGACTTGGCCAGTTATGCTTCAGTTTTGCTAAAAAGAAATGATATGCAGGATTTGCGAAGTATTTGGGAAAGTTGGGATTCAAACAAAAAATTGCAGTTTTATCAGACTTACGGAGACATCCCATACTTGCTTTATGTTGAAGTTGATGATGAATTACTCAGAGCCCTAATTCAATTTTGGAATCCAGGGTACAATTGCTTCACTCTCAATAAAGAGGACTTGGTCCCTACTATTGAAGAGTACACAACTTTGTTACATATCGAAGGGGCTTTGGAGAATCGAATCTATTCAAAGTCAATTAAAACTCAACCCTTTCGAGTTAAATTAGCAAAGATTGCCGGTGTACGAGAAGAATGGGTGGCATCCCGTACAAAACAAAAAGGCGAAAGCGAAGGCATTGCTTGGACCAACATTAAAGAACTTATTCAGAGCCATCCATATATTAAAGTACGATTCGATTTATTTGCTCTGGGTATGTATGGTATGGTCATCTTCCCAAAAGTATTGGGATATGTTGAAGCTGCAGTGGTAGATTTGTTTGAACAGCTGCCAAAAAAGATTAATCCTGCTTCTGCAATCCTAGCAGAGACCTTCAGATCGTTAAATGCTTGTAGAAAGCTAGGAGGTGGACGATTCTCAGGGTGTACCCAGTTGTTATATGTTTGGATCCGTAATCATTTCTGGAGGACAGAAAAGGTTTCATACCGACGCTTTAATACGGATTATTCACCATTAAAAGAATTTCTGGAGCAGGAATGGCCGAAAGAAATTAAGAAAGATATATGGATTAATGCCTTTCGAAATCTGCAAAGCAATGACATTGTTTGGCGAGCCCCGTGGCAAATCCAAAGGGAATTCTTTTACAAATGTGGTTATTACAATTGGATAATGCTGCTCGGATTATGGGGAGGAATTGGATATGCACCACTTCTGGTCATAAGACAATATGAAGGTCGTCAATTTGTACCTGTCACCGCTGGATTACATTCATCTGAGTTCGCATTCCATAGCAAAAATTATAAAAGAAATATCATGGAAGCCATTATAGCTTGGAAAACAACTTTTTATATCCGAACTAAAGCAGCAAAAGAAATGCTAACTCCTGATTATGAGGAATGGAGATATGTCAGGAAAAATGAAAATATTCCTCTACCAGATCAAAATGAGGATATCTCTATGGAAGACCGCATTAAGGTGGTTCCATCAGAGATTGAAATCCTGAGAGCTGAGTTTGAAGCAGAAAAAGAAGGATGGTCAAGAGAATTAGAGCAAATGAGACGAGATAAAGCTATGTTGGGTGTTGA